TAGTTCTTTTTATATAGTTATTTCTGAATAGATTTATCAAGGATAAGTAAAATAATGACTAACAGAGAACGTATAAGAAAGAAAAACAACATTTCGTCACAAATATCGTTTTTTCGATGACGAAGAAAAGTATGAGAGATTCAGTTAGCTATTGTCGAAGAAATAAAGAATATGAAAATGAATGATGTACAAAATGAATACACATGTAGCAGATGTTGAATATTTCTCTATAGTTTTTAGATAAGATTTTCATTCAAAAGAATCTATTTATATTATTTTCTTTTAACATAAAATAATTCCCTTTCAAATTTTGTACATAGATCAAAGAAAATAATTTTACTAAGAAGGTTAAATGAACTGAATAGATATTTTATAGTAAGAAAATATTTTTATGTAGAAACTCCTGATTAAAAATCTTTATCTAGAATTAAATATTGATGAGTTACGAAATTCTTATATTGTTTTATGAAAACCTTTTTATTTCATTGTTAATATCATTGTACAATATTATATTAAAGGAAAAAATGTTTCGTCTTTTCTGATTACTACTATTAAATTATCCAATATACGAGAGATTTTTTTTAAAAATTTGAGATTAAATCTTGTTCATTAGTATACAAAACATCTAATGCTGATGTTTTTTATCAGATTTTTAATTTTAATCTTTAATCTTGTTTGTGTAATAGGAAATTTCTTCGTTGATTACAATTGACATTAGTTATAAAAAAGTTATTTCATGTACTCAAAATCAGTAATTAATCGTCAATGATTTTCTTTTTCATTTTTAATGGTAAACTATGAGATTATTTACACGTGAACTTTTATTTTACTATTAGATTTAGAAGATCTTATTACTAATTTAATTAGTGCATCAATGTTTTTATTATAAAATTGAATATTCACATTAATTTATACATAGAAGTTATGTAACTAAATAGATAAATAATAATTCTATATGCAATTTAATATAGGGAGGAAAAAAATTCTTTGAAAACGATGAGTTGTTTTTGTTTATTTCTGAAAGGCTTCTGTGTATATTTATCATCGCTCAGAAATTAAAAATCTCGAGAAAAGAATAAAAAACACAAGTGAGAAGTAGAGTTATAGATTAATATAGAATCATCTAAAATAAACTACACCTTATTGTAAAGAAACGTTTTGAAACAAATGATTGTAGTGACGAGGCTTATAGTACGATCATTTTTTTTAAAATTATTCGATGTCATTTATGTCATAGTAGTCACATTCATGACAAAACTAATCTTCTTTTTGTTTTAAATGTCTGTAATTATATTTCACTCTTCAAATTATAAATTCTTAAATAATTAGTTTGTAGTTCATAATTGATTACTAAAATCGATGATTAAACACGATTTTCATGACATAAGAATGTGATTATGACACTTGTCGGAGATTCTTATGGGATTTATTTCGTAATGGTGATAATATAAATAATAGTTGAATAGAATGAATAATGTTTCAGTTCAATCTGTAATATTTTAAGAGAGTTATAAATTTAAAAAAATCATGCATAATATTTCGTGTAACACTAATAGTTTTTTTTATTTATTTTATTTAAGTGAAAACTTGAATAACTTTTTCATTGTCTTTTATCATATGTATCATTATATGTCGAAGTTATTTTTCATTTGACAGAACAGGAATTGTAGGATTGACTGTAGATATAATCTATCAGCAAACAATTAATTCGAATTATTTTCTTAAAGTATATATTAAAAAAAAATAATCATTTCTTTGTCTTTGATTTCTATACAATATGAAAAGGTCGACATATGTGCGCGGATAAAATCAATATTGATTTCGTTTCGAAAGAGAAAAGGAAATTCTACAAATGATGCGCTTGAAACGAAAAAGATAGATCTGACACTAAAATAGATCCTTTCAAATCCATTATATTTACATTTATGTTTACTCATACTCGTCGTTTTTTATCATAGAAGTTAGATGAACAAATGTAAGTTAGTAGCGTTCAAAATAAAAGTTTGAAATAAATAATTATCATTATCTCTTTTTATTTTGATGATCATTTAACAGTTATTAGAATATAAGGCTAAGATTTCTTTGCTGTATCATTTATTAAATTAGTTTTAACTCAACAAGCAACTCACACTTATTATTTTATCTTTCTTGAAGTTAAAAAATCTTTAAATATGTTATACAATGGCTGATTATTTATAATAGATCGCTGAATTGCAGATGAGTTTAATCATAAAGAAGGGCGATGTCGCTGGACAAGTCATTAGAAATCCAAATAGTTAAAAAAATCTAAGATAATTAATTCTATATTGAAAAATAAATAAGTAAATAAAGATTTTGATTGTATTTAAAAACTGAGTTGATTTTTCATCTATAAATAAAATCGACAGAATAACAATCTTTTTCTCTTTTCTTGACATGACTTATCTGTGTGTCTTGGTTCATTGGTTTTGTTAACCACATGTGCTTTTTAGTAAGAGCAATCAACGACGATATTAAAGAATAAACGTAAAGAAGAGTGACCTTATAGATGGTTGTTTGACAGAACAAGAAAAAATGAGAATTGTAAGCTCTAGAAATAATTTTTTTTGTCGTTACGAACAAAATAGCAAAATGCATCCAGAGGGAAAACAACGTGTCTTATAGAATATTTTCAAATATCGAAATAAAACGACTTTTACCTATCGAACCGTGTTCTAATCTTATCTTATCTTAAGATTTCGATTAACAACTGTCAAAAATGAAATATTTATATTCTGATGTTCGAATAGCTAAAAAGAAAACGTTTCATTTCAAATTGATATTAATATAAAATAAGATAAAGAAAAATATGATTATTTTAATTTTATCTTATATCTTAAATAACTATTTAAACATTTCGAGAGACTCAAATGCTTTTTGTTTAACATTTTTATATTTGGAGATTTTTGGAATAAAATACTTTAATTATTCTCATTTAGAAAGTCTGAATAGTGACTTTTAAGATGATCGAGCTGGATAACATTTTCTATATGATATTAAACTATTAGTTGAAATGAATTTAAATTACGTAGTCGAATATGGAGCCAACTTCACCTACCTGATCTTATTATTATTGCCCTTTCTCAGATATATATTCGATTTTTTTATTAATAGAGAACATTTTCTCAATATATAGAGTGATAGAAGAAAAAATTCAATATTATCGTTCTCGTAGAAAAGAGTCTTGCAAACATAAATTATCTGTTTGCTTGTGTCCGTATTATCTAGGTCTGATGATTGCTGACTTTCCAAATTTATTTACAATTAGTGGTCCCGGTGCTCCATCTGATTTAGCTAATATGGTTCCACATATCGAACAACATATTAAATGGATAACAAAATGTTTGGAATGTCTACGAATACATGATATCAATATGACAGAATTTACTTTAGAGGCAGAAAATACTTGGATTAAACATGTAAATGATGTTGTCGAAAAAACTCTTTTTCGAACATCCAAGTCAATCTACAACGGAGCAAATATTCGCGGAAAACCACGAGTCTTTATACCTTATTTAGGAAGCTCTGATATTTATATGGAAAAGTGAGAAAAAATTGCCAACAATAACTATGAAGGTTTTCATCTGGTGAAGTAACTACGATCATAACAGCATGGTGATGCAGAACATTCACATTAGTTTTACTTTAAATGTAATTTCGTGGCGGAATATCGTACAGTTCTGATTTCTTTGTTTGATTCGATACGAGTGTTAACGAGACCGATTATATTTACTTTATTCTTTTCAGATAATTCTATTTCTCACAGTACTTGTTTATTAGGCTTCTACTACTTAACAAATTCCAAAACAAAATGTTAACAATGATGGAAATGGCTTTATTACAAAAGGTCCAAGAACAAGAAATGATGCTTTCACCAGCATCATCAGCTAGTCCTACTTCTGTTTGTTCGCAAGGTGCTGCGTCTTTCGCACAAGAACGAATATGGCTCGACGAAAAGTTCCATCACAACTCACCAATGTCACCTGCTATGCATAATTTTGTTTTACCTTTGGTGATTGAGCATGGCTCAATGTCAATCGAGCGAATTCGTTCGGCCATTGTTGCTGTTCTTGAACAGCATGAAATACTTAGAACAGCAATTTACTTCGATGAAAATCGTAATATGTTGGTCCAAGCAGTGCGATCTATGGACAACAACGATGCTTATTCCTTTGAAATAACAGCAAACGATATACACAGTCCCGATGAAGTTGCTGATCTACTTAGGAATGAATCGGTCCAGCATTTTGCTGAATTGGAACAAGGTTTAGTTGTTCGCTGTCATTTAGTTAAGGTGGGATCCGACGATGACATGGGCAAACTATATCCTCATGATCTGGTTATCTTCATATTTCATGGCGTAGCCTTCGATTATAATTCTATTGGTTCGTTTCTTGTTGCCTTTACAAAAGCATACGATCAGATGGAATTGGATGTTGAAGGGTTACAATATATCAGTTTCAGTCTATATGAGCGTCAACAATTCGTTAATATCGCTGAAGACTCTCAAATACGAAGAGCACAGCAGTTTTGGGCAAAAATGATGGACGACTACAGCCTTGATGCAAACTATCCGACACCATTTACGCGCCCATTCGACACAAAAAAGCGTTCTGGAGAAGGGCATAGCACATCGTTCATACTGAATTCGACTCTCGTAAAAGCTCAAATGGAACTTACATCGTCGTATGATTTGTCTATGTTTCATACAGCATTAGCGTGCTTCTTTCTCTTCATTTATGAACTCAATGATGGTACTATTAGTGACTTGTGTGTGACCTGTCCTACAGAAAATCGATCACTCGTTGATACAAAATTCATGATTGGTACGTTTGCAAATTTATTACCATATCGTATCAAAATTAATACAAATAAAAGTTTTATCAACTTGGTGCAGCAAATTTGTCAACTCGACATGAACATTCTTAATCACTGTCAACTACATTATCAACAGATCATCAGAGGTAATAGAGAGCTATGTTCAAGCAAGATTCCATTTCATTTTCAATATGACGAGATTCACCCTTCTTCAACTAGTGGAATGAAATCGATAGCTAAGACAAATGATGCGATATTAAATTTGTATACTGAACAACCTTGGCTACATGGCAATGGTATTGCTTCTCATGATATGAATTTGAAAATGATTCATAATCAGTCCAGCCAAACGACTTATTGTATTTTTGAATGTAGCGCTGATTGTTATAATGAAGTGACGGTGTCCAACATTGGTCGATATTTTCAGAATCTACTTTTACATATCTTCACTGAAAATACAGAAACCATTGGATTCGATCCACTTTTCGAAAAAATTGGAAATCTTTCTCTTTTACCAATGAACGTTGAAACTTTATCAAACGTTATCGAATCACTACGACGTTTCTCTGAAATAAGTAAGTGCTTCGAAGAAAACTCGTTTTTAATTCTTCTTTACATTTCTGCATGAATTAAAACTTATACATAATGAGTAACTTGTGAAATCAGTTTAAATCCCTTCGTACATAAAAAATAGTAAGTTTGATAGAAGAATGTCATCAGTTTGAGACACATAATTTTAACAAAAGAATTTTGTGTGAAAGTAGTTTAATATTGGATTACTATGTGCGAGCGATTCGAGTATTTAACTATGAAAATAAACCTAATAAGTGTGTAAGAATAATGTCTGACTATCATAGAACCAGCTTCATATGCTCAACACCAAATATGGCAGGACGAAGAACGTCGTTTGCATTTGGACGGACCACAATCGGCAACATACAATATGGTATTCTGCTATCGTCTTTCGGATGATCATACATTGTCTGTTCAGCAGCTTCGTTATGCACTCCAGCTTGTTGTTAACAAACATCAATCTTTAAGAACGTCATTTATTTTTGATGCTATAAAAAACATTCTCACACAACGAATAGTTGACCAACAGAATCATGCAAACAATCGGTTTTCTATAGTCGAAAGTATTTATGAAACAGATGAACAATTGGATGAAATTATCCACAATGAGACACACAATGCTCATGTTTTCGATCTTGTTCAGGGTCTTGTCTTCCGATGGCATCTTTTTCGTTATAGACCGGCTTCTGCCGATGATCTTATCTCCGATAACGACGTCATCATCTTCAATTTCCATCATGTCTCGTTCGATTATCCATCGATGAAGATATTTCTCCATGATCTTCATCAAGCATACACTACAAGTCAACTACACAATGATGACAACACCAACAATAGACTTCGCTATCTCGACTGTAAATGTCCATACTTCTCTCTTTATAATCATATCATGTCTTTCTCTCTTCTTTAGATGCTGTCATTGAACAACACATGTCCATGGTTGGTGCAAGCATGTTCTGGCATGATGCTCTGCATGATTGCAAATTAGATCAGTCTCTCTCATTGCCATATGATCGATATCGACTTACGACAGAATATCGATCTGGTTTTGGAACATCTATTTCATTCGATTTAGATCGAGATCTTTGTGACACTTTCCTTCACTACACATCTTCACAAAACATTTCATTTGAACATCTAGCGTTGTCTATGTACTTTGTCTTTCTATTTAAACTAACGAATGGAGACACAGACCTATGCATTGGAATGAACGTAGATGGTCGATATAGAGATGAACTTAGATCTGTGATTGGTATGTTTGTCAATACTATTCCCTTACGATGTCAACTAGATCCACAATGGTTTCTACATGAACTTATTAAACATATTCAAGAAATACTAACAAATAGTCGCAAATACTCTTATTTTCCGCTACAGCATCTTCTAGATCAACATTCACATGTTTCCAAAGCTGCATTTCGTGATGTCTCATTTGAGTTTCTCTCATCTATGACAAGAAATGACAATAACATCATCATGATTGGTAATAGTCAACTTTCTTCGGTCACGTTTCCAATAAACATGAATGAGAAGGAGAACAGAAATCAACTCCAAGATTTCTCCCTTCTCATTCAACATGATCTCAACACCAATCGATTTGCATGTACAATCAATGCATCGCTTGACTTATTCAATAGAGAGACAGTAGAGAAGATTTCTCAACGATTTCATTTAATGTTTCATCAATTATCTACATCTGTTATCGACGGTCAAATAAGCAAACCTATCTATGAATTATCATTAATATTATCAAATGAGCAATATGTAATGCAATCAATGAATAATACACAAAAATCATTTCCTTCGATCACTTGTATTCATCATGAGTTTGTTCATCAAGTCATGCAACATCCACAGAAAATAGCTGTTGAATTCGATGATCAATCTCTTACATACACTGAACTGTTACATTATGCACAAGTTTTATCTTCTCATCTTGTGAGAAGACATGTCATCGCTCCAGGTAAAATTATCTGTCAATGTGTAGAGAGAAGCTTATCGATGGTGAGTTGTTGTTTAACATGATGGCGATTAGTCTAACTGAAGGTTTGTTATGTTTATTTTTCGTAGATTATTGGTATAATGGCTATTGAAATGAGTGGAAGTGTATATTGCCCATTGTCACCTAGAGATCCACCAAATCGTTTGCATACACTTATAGAACAAACTCAAAGCCGTCTTGTTCTTATTCATTGGTTGACAAGAGCGAAATTTGATGATAACGATATTGTTTTGATTGATATTCATTCGATATTAGCTAATCATGACTCAAAGAGTAATGTTGATATTAATCGTCTATCCGATGTCAGAGTGACACCTAATGATATTGCTTATATCATTTTCACCAGTGGTTCAACTGGCATACCCAAAGCAGTATGTGTATTAAGTCTAAGTAGTATAGAACAATGCTATATTCTATTTGGTTCAATAATTTTAGGTTCAATTGCGCCATCGTAATTTCGTGTTTTACATTAGATCTTACATAATCGAAGCGTCTGACACTTCTCTTCATCACACGTCAGTAACCTTTGATGCACATCTGAGCGAAACTTTAGGTACTTTAATGGTAGGCGGTCAGGTGATTATTCTTCATCCTTACGGGCAGCTTGATATGGAATTATTTTCAAAAACAATTACTCATCATCAAGTGTCATATCTGGGCACTGTACCATCTCAGATGATTAATTTAACTAAGTTTCTAAATACTACAAATCGAAATTATGTTTTTGAAACGCTTCGATGTGTATCAACCGGAGGTATTGAAATAGTTGTAAAAGTACAAGTTTTTTTTCAAAATTTTTCGTTTTTAATGTTAGGAGAATCGCTATTCGTTGGTACTGTTGTTGATATCCAGCGTTACCTAAAAAACAACTGTCAGATTTACAACTATTATGGTCCTACTGAATGTACAGAAGCAGCAGTTGAACATTTAATAAAAGAAGACGACCTCGCTCGTGGTTCTATACCGCTGGGACAGCCCATGACAAATATTTACATCTATGTCGTCGACAAGTACTTTCAACCTATTATACCAGGCATGCATATGGGTGAAATTATTATTGGGGGTAAGTGATCTTCTACACAAACGCAAATTGTTCACATTCTTCCACTGCTTATTTAGGTGCTGGTGTGTTCGCCGGTTATCGTAGTCGAAATGAGTTAACGGCACAAGCTATGTGTCAAATCAATGATGAACTCTGCTATAAGACAGGAGACTTAGGATGTTTTAATCCGCAAACCCGTTGTTTTGAATACTGTGGTAGAGAAGATTACCAAGTGAAGCTTCGAGGTCAACGTATTGAATTAAGTGAAATTGAATCAGTGATTATGAGTATTACCGCAATGTGTGTTGTTGTCAAAGTAGTACATCGCAATAATGACTATCTTGTTGCTTATGTCGAAGAAAAGAGCTATAGTGTAAATGAAGAACAACTTCGACAGCATTGTCAGTCTCATCTTCCACCACATATGATTCCATCATTTTTTATTATTCTTGATAAATTACCATTGAATCAAAATGGAAAAATAGATCGAAAATTACTCCCATCACCTGACTATTCATCGCCAACTGTGCCATCGTTAAGTGAATTTGATACACCAGTCAATCAAGTAGAAAAAAGTGTGTATGATATTTGGTGCCAAGTGCTGGAGCACAATGGACACCATATATCAACTACTACAAACTTCTTTACTATTGGAGGTCATTCTCGTTTGTTTATTGAACTTTATCATCGTTATCAAACTATTTTTGGTTTCGATAGTCGTACATTATCTATTAGTCCGCTTCTTGAGCAACCAACTATTCAACAGCATGCAAAGTTATTAAAGGCAGTCACAACTGATGATATTCGAAGGGAACAATGGTATACTCTGCACATTAATCAAAGTAAAAATCTCTAATATTGACTATTAAAATAAACTAAAATGTTTTGTTGTTGCATTTTCAGGTATGGCATCATTCGCTCAAGAACGTATATTTTTGGATGAACAAATTCGATTCTCTAATAAACATATTTTCTATAATAATTCTGTTGCACTACGAGTTACCGAAGGTGTGTTATCAATAAATCGAGTACTACAAGCTCTCCAATTGGTTTTGAGGAAACATGAAATATTGCGTACTTCACTCGTGTTTAATAATGATGATAGTACACTACAACAATATGTCATTGACAATCACAATACATTTACCTTTCTTGATCAGCAAACTTTCGAAAGTGACAATGAACTTCAAAATATTATTTATCGAACGGTTATCAATCCTGATTTATTTGATTTGTCTAGTGGTCGAGTTTTTAGTTGCCAGATACTTCAACAGCAGAAGACTACGTATGAGACTGCTCACACAGACTTCCTTGAAAAGTCTGATGTTCTTGTATTATATTTCCATCATGCAGCAGTTGATGGAACTTCTATACCAATCCTGTTGAATGATTTCTATAATGCTTATAGTAATAACATGACAATTTCGTTTGATGAACAATCAGTGCAATATATTGATTATGCTATTTATGAACGGCTTATGGATATGACATCGTCTCGTAGCTTCTGGTATTCTCAACTAGAAAGATTTAATCTCAAACGTGCATTAAAGCTACCAGCTGATAGACACCGTTTGTCAACTGTTCAACGATCTGGCTTGGCGTCGATAGCTCAAATCTCTTTTGATAAGGAGCTGTCGATGATGTTTCTCAATTATGCTTCCTTACATCAAATTACACCTTTTCAGCTTGGTTTGGCTGCATTTTATGTATTTCTACTCAAACTAACTCATGGAGAAACTGATTTATGCATTGCATCTATTAATGCTAAT